CCTCCAGTCAGCATGTGTACAATGCCAGTAAACACACTGAGCATGAGGCACCTCCCAAGCACCAGCAGACTACTGCACATGCGGATAGCACGCCCCAAAGGAAGAATCAGAGGAGAAGAGATGCAAGACCCCGGAAGTATGCCAACCTCTAAAACCTCAAGTCGGGTCAAACCGGCACCTGATCTCCTAAGTCACCCATTTGACCCTCTTCCAAGTGTACTTTACTTTCACTTCTGCTCTAAAACTTATCTTGGTCTCTCCTTCTGCCTTATGCCCCTCAGTTGAATTCTTTCTTCTGTGGAAGCAAGAATTGAGGTTGCTGTAGATCTGTGTGCATTTGCCACAGTAATTGCTTGTTATTTTTTTTTTAAAACTACTAGTTTGGAAAACTTACTATGGGCCAGGCAATGTTTTAAATGCTTTACATGAATTATTTCAGTTAGTCTTTCACACTAATTTCATGAGAAGTACAAACATTATCTCTATTTTGCAGATGAGAAAACTGAAACTCTAAAATATTGAGAAAGTTTTCCAATGTCATACAACTAAAATATTATGTGACAGAACCAAATTGAAACTGTCTTCTAAGTCCAGAGGCTGAATTCTTAATTAGTGTATTTTAGCACATGCAAGCATACAAGGGTGCAAGCATGCACAGGTGTTTGCAATCTCCACCAGTTCCAGGAATTTTATATATATGTATTAATATATAAAAATGACATTTATCTTTTTTCTTTTAAAAGCCAAAGTTTAACTACTTTAACATTGTGACTAAAAGAACACTGATGAATCATGAAACATTTGTCATATATGTATCTATATATGACTTATAACAATCACGTAAAGTAAGTAAAAAACATAATCAGGGCCAGTTTAAGATCTTTAAAATTGCTAAGTTGTCAAAGATTAAGGTATTTGTTCTTTTGTCCTATCCTTATGTGACCTTCAGTGTGAAAACATTTCTAAATAGTATTGAGGCGGGATTGCTCCCTTGACCTTGACTCCCTTCGTGAATGGGAACTGGAGTGCTCCTTTCACTCAGCCCACTGCTGGCCATTCCTTGGAAGAGGGAATGTGCGAGGAAGCAAGTGCGGGAACCGGATGGAATGAACGCTGGAACCAGCAGGCTGCTCCTCTCCGATGGAACCAGGCTCTGTGCAAGCCCCGCAGCAGCTTCCAAGCCCCTGCCCTCTTGACACTCAGGTTCTTGTCTGGTGTCCAGGAAAAATCAGGCCACATGAATGGATTGAAGGGCAGTGTATGTGAAGGATTTTTTTTTTTTTTTGGAGGGGGAGTCTTGCTCTGTTGCTCAGGCTGGAGTGCAGTGGTGCAACCTAGGCTCACTGCAACCTCCGCCTCCCAGGTTCAAGCAATTCTCCTGCCTCAGCCTCCTGAGTAGCTGGGATGACAGGCATGTGCCACCATGCCTGGCTAATTTTTATATTTTTAATAGAGACAGGGTTTCACCATGTTGGCCAGGCTGGTCTCGAACTCCTGACCTCAAGTGATCCTCTCGCCTTGGCCTCCCAGAGTGCTGGGATTACAGGTGTGAACCACAACACCCAGCCTATGTGAAGGATGTTATTGGGTGGTGGCTCTCAGCAAGATAGGAGCTGGAAAGGGGATGGTGCAGGAAGAAATGATCTTTCCCTGAAGCCGCACTGTCTGAAGTTAGCTGTGTCTATCCACAGCCTCTGACTCTCAGCTGCTTTCATCCCCGACACTCAGTAGCTTGTATCCCTGACCACTTGTATCAGCCGCCTCTGTGGCTCTGCCAGCTGAAGTCTTTTTATGGGCACAAGATAGGGACGTGGCAGGCCAAAAAGGCAACATTTGGGCAAAAAATGGGGTCAGCTGTTTTCACTTAGGGCTGCAGTTCCAGACTTAAGGGTGGGGTTTAGCCGGGAGCCCAGCCGTTCTGTATCAGTATGATAGGTATAGAACAGGCTAATAAGTTCTGAATTTTCTCACAATTACTACATTAATGTTTCTCTGTAAAATATAATATTCAAATTTTTATTTCTTTCTTTGGTGTTTTGGAGGATGTGAAGACATTCTTTCATTACTATTGTCTCAAGTACGTGGGGTACTTGAGTCTGCACGTGGTTTAGCACAGTCAAGCCTGCATCAGGAACAATTACCGACAATCAGACCCTGGGGTAGATGCAGCCCCTAACCAGGCTGACTCACCTGGTAAGAGGTGGAGCTGGAATCAGATGGCGCTTCCTCCTTTCCTGCCCAAGGCTCCTCAAAATGTGCTGCACCGACTAATGCCACTCCACAAAGTACTTTTTACCGGTTGTCAATGTGTACAGAATACAGAAATCAAGAGTAAGCATTTAGAAACTTTCATAGCAATTTGACATTGTCCTGCCTCTCAAGCATGTGACGAAGACTCACGTGGACGCATGTCAGTAAAGAAGATGTAGACCAGCTGTCCGACACAGGTGTTGGACAAGTAAGGACCCCTTATTTGCTGACAGGGGGAGGGTTCACAGGCAGATCAATGCCCAGCTGGGCATTTGTAAATGCTCAGCATCGGCTGGCAGGTGCCTCCCTCTCACCTCCTCTCTAAACCTGCCTCCCAGAATAAAGCCCGCCCCGTTACAGAATGTATCTGATATATTAATGGTGGTGAGGAGGTACTGGACTGGGACTAAGAGAACTGGATTTGAATCTTGGCTTTGCTGCTTATTAGCCACATGATTTGGGAGCACTTCATAAACCAAATGCCCACAGCTAATTACTTCTGTCTTCTACTGGAGGGGCAAAATTCATATCATGAAGAGTGAGTTCTGTGGAGGGAAACACTCTGAAGATCTCACGAAGCCTTTCTGGTTATAAAAAGATGGAGGCGTCTGTGCCAGTTTAGATGAAGCGGGGTTGCCCCAGAGAGGCCGTCTTAGTCTGTTTGGGCTGCTATAACAAAATACCACAAAACGGGTCACTTACGAACACCAGAAATTTATTTCTCACAGTTCTGGAGTCTGGGAAGTTCAAGATCTATGTGCTAGCAGATTCGGTGTCTGGTAGACGCCTGTTTCGTGGTTCATAGATGGTGTCTCCCGGCTGTGTCCTCACATTGTGGAAAAGTCTAACTAGCACGCTGGTGTCTCTTTGGTAAGGGCACTAATCCTTTGTCCTTATGATATAATTACCTCCCAAATGCCCCTACCTCCTGATAGTATCACCTTGGGGTAAGGATTTCAACATACAAATTTTCGGGGCGAACATTCAGGGGACATAAACATTCAGCCCTAGCAGAGACAAATGCTCTGCAAGATACGAGACAGGAATGCTAGAATTATGTGTTGGTGCTAGAGAAAGAAACTGGACCCTTGGAGAAAGGTAGAAGGAAACGGTGTAGAGCGAAACTTACAAGCCAGGCAGGGCTCATGCCGTAACGCAGCTGGGAGCCGAGGAGGGCAGGCTTGATGGTGCTTCAGAAGGCAAGGCCTGGCCAAGGGCAGTGCTGCTCTGCCCCAGCCAGTCATTACCATGCAGAGGTGGAGATCCAGCCACTGTCAGATCGTCCAGTCTTTCAAGAAAAGTCAACATCTGAAAAAAATCTCATTTAAAAAAATGTTGGGAACTAATTAAAATTGTATTTAACTACTCTGCTGGCCAAATTATATATGTCTTTGGACTGTATTTGGTCCATGAAGTACCATTTATCTTGTCTAGAAAAAAAAAGCATCTGAGTGAAGGAGTCAAAAAATAATTTTAGCACAGTCAAGCCTTTTCTGAGTTGACTTATTTTGTGTCTGCCATGCATATCTTAGGTTACCTCAAATTTTCAGTAAAAATGTGATAGAAATAACAGCTTGATTTGTGGTAATGTAAGGGAATAGAGGAAAAAGGTTGTTACCTATATGTTACAAAGTGGTACAAAAAGAGACAGTAATTGCAAGAGAGAGATAAGATTAAGAATAGAGAGTTCAGCAGAAACAAAAAACCAGAAGAGATGGAGAGAGACAAAATCTTCAGGAACACTAAGAGAAACATAAACCCCTTCCTGCAACAAGAATGTCAGTGGGATGTCCTGGGCTTTCAGAATAAATGGAACTGGGGTCGAAAAAAGAATAAAAAGTTTAATAAAAAAGAAGAGGGTGACACCAGGAAGCTGGAGAGTGTGGAGCTATCCAGTGGCAGATACATAATTTATAACAGAAATAAAATGACATAAAATCCCTCAAAGAGATGATTCAAGATTACTCATGTCATACACAAGTAATATTTGCCATGGGAATGTTCTGAGGATATGGAAGACTAGAAACAAAATATGCTTCTGGGAGGGGCGGGGCAGCTGGGAGACACTTCGGTGACCCCGGCTCCTCCCAAGTCAGCTGCCTTAGTGGACAGGAAGGAGATAAGCAGAAGGCCTGTCTTGCTATAACGGGAAGACTGCTCAGCCACCCTGGGAATGCACGTCCACCAAATCTCAGAGACATTAGAGAAAACCTGTAATGCTCAGGAGAGAGGCGTGAGGAACCCAGGAAGGAGAAATGGAAACGAGATACGGAACCAGATGAAAACGCAGGGTCTCCATGGTTTTGAGGCAAACTATTGTCTTTTTGGTTGACGTATGCATATGGAGTTAACATTTGTATTCATGACATTCTGGAGAAGTGAAGCATACAGTATATGAATATAATGAGAATTTCTTTCTTTGGGCACATTTCAGGTATTCTGCAACTCTGGAGGCAGCTTATTCCTCGATTTTTTCTCTTTCCTTTTGCGAAGCACATGGGGCATAACATCATTAACACTCCCAAAGCCGACAAAGGTTTTTCTTTCTCAGGCAGCGTGCATTTCAGCCTCATCAAGCCAGAAAGTATTTTCGTGGCTGGCAACTTCAGAGAAATCAGCGTTTCTATTTGCCACTGGAGGGTCAGGGTTCTAGAAGGATTATGGAAGTGCTGTCTTGCTCGGCACCACAGTTATGCAGAGGGCAATAGAGATGCTTTGGCTGCTTTTTTCATGACAGTGTCTCACTGCCAGAGAGGAGACAATTGGCTGGTCATCATCATAATTAGTATGCATTACAAAGCAGCAGTGTGCTCTGCACCACGTGAGGAAGCTGGAAGAGCGCCCGCCTGTTCAGTGGCCGTCTAACTGAGTGAGACACGGAGAGGAACGAGGGACTGGAATCACAGGAAGCTAGCACTTACTGCCAACATTGATGAACACATGAACAAACGTGAGTTATCTTGCTTTTTTCCCTCCTCAAAGTCTCCATGGAATGAATGATTGTGACCATCCTTCTGCAGCTGAGGAAACCAGGCTGACAGAGATCAAGTAAAATGTCCACAGCCACACAGAAAATCAGTGTCAGAGCTAGGACTTGAATGAAGGTTTGTCTGATCCTAAGTCCAGGTATGCAAGTCCCTGGCAGCACCATGGGGTGACCACTGACCTGTGTATGGCTTATTAGGTTATTAGAGTCAAGTCTCTGTGGGAGTACAGATGTCAAACACACAAAGGCACTCCCTTGAAAACAAAGGCTTTTAAATGATCGATAAGCCATCAAAATTGACCTCATAACGCTGGAAGTGGGTCATCGCTAAATCACCTGTGGGGCATTTTCTCTTACTGCCTTCCAGAAACATGTAGAATTTTAGGGTTCACGGTCTACACTGCTTGAACACCTAGATTTGGATTTCAGTATGAGAACTGAGGTCATCAGGAGCAAGATATCTTACTCCAACCTTCGGTGCTTCCAGCCCAACCTACATTGACCACCTACACCCTTGCATCTCTACAGCCCACCTACTGAGCTGAACGGAGCACACCAAGGAAAGGAGAGAGGACCTAGAAACATGGGCATTTTTAAATTGGAGATAAAAAAGCAACCTTGTTATCTGGTGCAGGTGACCATAGAATTTCCTCTTCAATATCTCCATTACTAACTGGTCCATTATCTCTTCTTTTTTTTTTTTAATTAACTACAATTATTCAATTTTATTTTTACCTAAGTTGCTCAAGCACCCAGTTAGAACAAAAATAATGTAATGCTGAGATGTGTTTTTTATAAAAAAATAGTTAGCTCCCTACCCTACAACTCCAACTCTCCCAAAAGAAATTGCTTTTACCTTTTCCTTTTGACTTTCCCTTACTGTAAATGAGAGTTTAGGGTTCTTATAAACCCTCTATATCCTGGCACTTCCATCTTCCTAACATTGTTTTATCTTGGGTATGGTTAAAAAAATCACTATGACTATTTCTCTTTTGATGTTATCGTATTAATTTTTTTCAAGCACCTCACCAGATCTGACACTATTCTCTACTGGGTGTATCCTCCCACAACACACTCACCTGCTTTTCCCTGGAGACTCCGCTTCCAGAGCTCCCTACTTCTCGCTGCCGTACGGATTGTTTGCCCTCTAGCCTGCTACACAGCTGATGTCCTGGACATCCCCCTGTTCAGCTCCTGATTTTTAAGTCTTCCTTTTCCTTGTCAGCATTCTTCCCTTGTTTGGCCAAGGAACATCCCACAGTCACTGAATGGTGTCCCAGAAAGGAGAGCCCATCGTCTGTCTTTCAGCTTTAACCAAAACACCTCTAGTGACAGGGAACTGACTTATTCTCTGTTATAGTGACATTCTGGCTATTCCACCTAAATGCTAAAATGTTTTTCATTTATTCTTAATACCTAAACATTTTTAATGATCTGTTACCAAGATATTTGTCCCCATGTATCCTCAAACTTTCTAGTCTCTCTTGTCAATTTTCCACATGATTTTCAAATGAAAAGGCTTCAGCTCCTCTCCGGCATGCTGTGGCAAGCTCAGTGTGTTTCTTGGCTAATGGTGTCCTTGAAGCTCTACACTGTCTGTCTTTGGGATGAGACTCATGCCATCTACAGCACCTGATGATGAACTCCAGCCTCTCAGCGGGCTATTCTCTCCCCTCTTCTGGGACTAACTAGAGGATAGCAATAACCTATCTCCTGTGGTTTGGTGTATCAATAACCTTCCTATGAATTGGTGGAGTGGGAATTCATCTCAGCATCCCAGTTCAGTAACATTGCAATGTCGAAACCTCCCCACCCCCCTGAAATTCTTATGTCCTCTTCTGTTCTAATCTCCTGCGTACCTGGGTTTTCCCTATTTTCTCCAAACATATGCCTAAATCATATGTCTACCCTACACCTAAGCCAGTTGTCAAAGAGCCCCAATTCCCACCATGACCCCTCTCATGTCCTTGAATGACCCTTCTGCCCTATACTCCTATTGCATTCATCTTATATCCCTGTCCTCTTCCCATAAGCTAAACTCCCCCTAGTCGTTGCATCACACCTCAGAACCAAGCAGGATTCATGGTCCATTTGTCTTTGGACATGATATCTGGCCCCTTCTTTGAGATTTTTACTTCTGCTTCTATTTGTTTCAAGCACCTACCAGTTCTTCTTAACTCTTGGCCACGGCTAAGGGGTGGAATACTTTAAGCTTCCTCCCCAAACTATGAGCTTAATTCTCTTTTCAGAAACTCCTGGGAAAGACATCAGAAAGTCTCTCATGCTGTCTTATAGGCTTTCAGGAAAACTTGTTTAGAATATGGGCGAAGTATGTAATAGTTCGTATGGGTTGGTTTTTGAAGTACCAGGAAAAGGGCCCCTCCCAAAGAAATGTTATCCACTCAGTATTCACAGTGCCCCAAACTCTAAACAGCCTTTAACTGAAAAGTTGAAATTCCTGGGGAAGTTTTAAGCCATGCCAATGCCCAGCTCCATACTCTGAGATTCAAATTTAATGAATCATCATGAGGCTTGGTCATCAGTTTTTTGTTTGTTTGTTTGATTTTGTTTTTGAGAGACAGGGTCTCACTCTGTCACACAGGCTGGAGTGCGGTGGTGCAATCGTGGCTCACTGCAGCCTTGAACTCCCAGGCTCAGGTGATCCTCCCACCTCAGCCTCCTGAGTAGCCGGGACCACAGGTGCATGCCACCATGCCTGGCTAACTGTATTTTTGGTAGAGATGTGGTCTCACCATGTTGCTCAAACTCCTGGGCTCCAGTGATCTGCTCGCCTTGGCCTCCCAAAGTGCTGGGATTACAGGTGTGAGCCACTATGCCCAGCTCAGATCATCAGTACTTTTAGAAAGATTTCCAGGTGATTCTAATGCACACTCAAACCTGTGAATCATTGCACTTTAGGATAAGAGAAAGCTTACTGTGTAAATCACTCTGTGGAAAAACACTGCCAGTGATGCTGACGTTCAAGTGGTTAATGTGTCTTCTGACTGGGGGCAATCACACAGGTGCAGGGAAACAGAACAGAAAGTATCACCAAGAATGAACTTTGTCAAAGATGAGTCCTAGTCTCTACCTAGAAAATAAACATATTGTATTCATCATCATACCTTATATGACCTTGGCCTACTAGCTTGTTAAGCCTCAGTAATAGGGGCTATGGGAGAAAAGAGTGAGTGAGGACTGGGATAGGGATAAATATAGCCTCAGGGTTGCTACTTCTTCGGGAAGAGGGGGTCTGGCCTGGAATTTGAATATAACATCGAGTGTGACCAACTTGTATATGATTGGGACTTGTTTTGTTAACCAGTGCATCTAACCTGCAGGTGATATGCTGTGCTCATAATGGGGGTTGGGGATGTTTATTTAGGATTCTAGGCAATAGGACATTTTTGAAGCAGGATCCTAGCAGAGCACTTCCCTTGATGTGCCCTGACCCCTGTGGATGGTGAGGGCTAAGTAGATTTTTAGGGCTTCAGCCAATTGGGCTGTGGGTCAGGGCCAGTGCTACTCCCAGTGTGGAAGTAGAGTACAAATGCAATGGAACCTCCCCATTGTCATGAGGTCTAGGCAAAGGAGGCAGAGGAGGGGAGAGCTGTCACTCTAGATACAGGATGATCTGGGGGAAATGAATGATAAAGCTTGAGATGGCAAGAAAAGCCCAGGTAATATTCTTTTTTTTTCTTTTTTTCATCATGATGAGCGGGAAGATTCAGGCTTCTTCCTTTTATTTTTTTAAATTTTACCTTAAGTTCTGGGATACATGTACAGAACGTGCAGGTTTGTTACATAGGTATACACGTGCCATGGTGGTTTGCTGCACCTGTCAACTCGTCATCTAGGTATTAAACCCTGCATGCATTAGGTATTTGTTCCCTCCCTCCCCTTGCTCCCCACCTCCCAAAAGGCCCCAGTCTATGATGTTCCCCTCCCTGTGTCCATGTGATCTCATTGTTCAACTCTCACTTATGAGTGAGAACATGTGGTGTTTTCTGTTCCTGTGTTCCTTTGCTGAGAATAATAAGCCCAGATAATATTCTTACAAGCATCCCCTTATTAAATTGTTTATGTGTATGGATATGGAATTATTATCTTTTTCTGCAGTTTAACGTCATAGTAGTTCTAGCAGGTAAGTTATTTCTTCCCTATGCCTCAGTCTCCTTAACACAGCATGATGGCATCTCCAGGTAATTTGTAAGGTTCCCTGAAATACAGCATGCTAAGAGTCTGTGTATTAGCAAAACCTAATTGCAAAAGCATGGGAAAGGCTACAGTGATCATTGGTCCTAACTCTTCACAGGTTTCTCCTATTCAGCTATAATTCATTATTTGCCATTTTAGAGCTTCTTGCTAGTCCTCTTAAAAATCACATAATGCAATACAAATACCCATAATATAAATTTTGCTGGAGAAATTTCAAGGACTTTGACTTTCTCATTCAGGAGAGAAAGCTAAGCGACCAAGAGATCAATGAATCATATTTAATTGCAAAAAGAAAAAAAAGAGCGAGATGAATTCTAAGTAGCAAAGGTGATCTCGCCCTCTTCTGGACAAAAGCCACAGAGGTGCTGGGAAGCAGGATAGGCAAGACAAAGAAGGGAAACCAATTTTAGAGGAAAGATTTTTGAAAATGAGGATGTGGGGGTATTAGTTAAAAATAATGGAAGATAATAAGTACAGGCTGTTCCTTAGCACACAGAAATCAGACAATTAAGGGACATAGCTGTATTCTTTCCCTGATGCCTGTGAGGGTCATAAAGCTTGAGTGGCAGCTGGTAATATTCTTAGAAGGATAGGGCAAAGTCCAAAGCAACTTTTTTTCTTCAACTGCATTACTTTTGTGCTAGTGGACTCAAGTTAAACGGAACAATGAGAACAAAAGGGGTCATAAGAGGTAGTAAGTCTGAGAGACCACTGGGTTGTGAAAGCTGTAAGGTCTCAGACTGCAT